CACAATGAAGGCGTTTGTGGAAAGTTGCTTGGTGAAGACTAAAGTTGGGAGCTATTGGCTTGGAAGGTGTAATCTTTGTCCAAGAAAAAGGACTATTTTCCTATTTTCTTCAGTCACTTTAAGATGCTTTAATGCTCTTTTGACTGTGGACGCTCATGATTGTAGGGGTTGCGGTCCTCAGACTGTAAAGTGCTTTCTTTGCATCCATCAAATCTAAGAAATCTTAGCTTTCCAGAAAAATGTCCATTGTGCAGGTCTTTCAACGCGATGAAAGTGTGCAGTAAAAAGCTGGGAGCCAATAGCCTGCCTTTTAAAGGATTTAAACACAGTGCAGGCGGCTTTGTGAGAGGTTAATTGTGCATGTTAACCGAACACATCAGATCAGTGGAGGAGTAAAGTTTCTTAGTTAGTTCTTTGGAAATGAGGCTTCCATGACTCATTCACATGAATCAGTCGAATCAATTCCAAACATTGTGTTGCATCTGAGATAACTCTCTCTAAGAATTATGCAAACCGCTTTCCAGTGAATATGAAATACAAATTATCCCGATTTTTCCCACAGCTCGGGGGTCTTTGAACGTCTTCAGAATCCCCATAACATTTGACCCTCTGGAATTAGGACTTTGTGTGAAATACTGCCATAAAGAATCATTCATTCCTTCTTAGTTCTTCTACTTTTTCATAGTGACATTCACAAAATCAGTTAATTGTTGATTTAAGTGTTTTCATGAGATACTGTCATGTTGAGTAATCATGTTTTCAGCATCTGTAAAATCCCTGTTTTCATTTTCATGACCATGCTTTTGCTCTTGAGTAGCATAGTTGGACTTCTTTCCTGCAACATCTGCAAATCGGGTTCCTTTCGGATCATTGTAGGCCTTTTCTCTCTTCTCTGAAAAGTATCTTGTAAGACAAGGAGTTCAATAAGATTTAGAAAGTCCACCTGTCCACTAACAGGTGCAATCCAAAGGCATCCTCCCTCCTCTGAGAGGACTCTTCCTTAGTCATAAAACCTTCCATCCTTCTGTTGGGGCTTCTGGGTTCATGTGACAGCACCACAACGAGGATGTACCGACCAAATCACAAAAGCGTGCGGCTGGTTAAAAGCTGTTCCCGAATATTGAACAGAGTCTTTTACGCAGCGATTATGAGCCCAGATGAAAAGCCGTGGAGCTGATGGTGTTTCATTTGATGCTATTTTAGGATGAGTAAGCGCTGACTGCCCGGGGGTGCTAACACTCAAATGAAGTGGACAGCTGGAGATTATGAGGCGTGATTACACAGCCATGACATTCACGCTAATAAAAATGGGTTAAAGAAAAATGACATAGAGGCCTGTATGAATGGAGCATATCACATGAATTGACTTATTCAAGAAGAATTGCTGATCAAAAGCACATCTTTTTTGTGCAATCCCGAGTCTGACCACCATCTTAAACAGCACGTTCTTAATTTGTTTAGTTTTAAACCGTTTTTACCTGTTTGTTGCCATTTATTGTGGTCATTTCCACACGTGTAGTTCTCACAGAAACAGGTAGGCATCTGTGGTTGGTCCTCCTTTTCATTCTGTATGAGCACAGACTTCTTCGCATCCAGTAACCAGCGAAGCAAGTTCCTCTTGAGAAATAAATCCGGCGTGTCACCAGCGTCTTTACTGTACCGTCCGCGTCTCTTTTTCATTATAAAATCTCGGCTGGAGTTAAATTGGAACCAAACTGGATGCTATAAAATAAAGTATGTAGGAATAAGCAGTGTAATTTCAAGCTGTCTGCCCTGCTGAGTGATTTCTATTACGCAGAAATAAATGAGCTGTGACCAAAAGACACCTGTATTCTCATGAAAAATTACTAATAAGACCAGTTGGGGAGGTTTTGACCACATTTTTCTTGTTTGTGTGCTGCCATATTGTTTCAATGCACACCACTATTGTAAAAAGATGATGATACATGTACCATTGTACGAACTCAGACTCAGCTAAAGACCAACTTTAAATACAAAATGACATCCACGTCTTCGTCAGGTTATAATTATCAGGCTGGCTTTGATATGCCGACGCTCTGTGAATGTAGCAAAGTGATGAGAAATCTGAAGTGCATAAAAGTCTTTTAAGTCAAACTGTTTTCGTCATTGATGTCCTCTACAGTAATCTGTCCTAAATATAGATAAACAATCTATTCTCTCTTGCTTCAGTCTTGTGTTTAGACACGACCAACTCAAAAATGACAGGAGAAACGTGTTCTTTCTGCCGATCAGGCCTCTTCTCTGCTGACTTTAGGGGTTCTTTCTTTGCACAGAGCTTTTAACTGAACATCTGGAAAATGAGAAAATCTTAAAGTGTTTGTTGTCAGATGCAAACGCTCACAGTTTGGGAACATCTGCAGAATATTTCCAGTCGGGCTTTGCCTTTTCAGTAAGATGCTGTCCATCCCAAGGTCTGTTTGTGTTTGTTAAGCTTCCTATTTTTAGCTAAGAGCGTGTTATTGCATTTGCTGAACTCACTCAAATTGACAAATTAATTATGAAAATAATTACATTGAAGATGAAAGAAAGAAAACACATTTTCAATCCTGAGCAACATACTGAGCATAAAGCCTGTGATTTCATAACCAACATGCATTTGATTGATTTGAGTGAACAAAAAGGTTGAAATAGAAGGCAACCCAGAAGGATTATTGTTCTTTATAATGGGAAAGGGTAATTTTCCTAAAATCTATAAACAACCCCAAACAGATAAATAATTATAATCAAAAGAAGAGAGTTTCCTCATGGTCTAAAAGAGACAAATTATTTCCCATTATGACAGTAAACTAATCATACTGACTGATATTAAAAACTACTGAGATCGATTGGAATTGGCCAGCGGAACTCATCAGGAAACCACTGAAAGTTGCAGTTTCAGCGTTTGGTGGAAAAATGAACTTACTTTCTTGTAATTGCCACATGAGTCTTACAGCTGCTTTATGTGTGCCATATTATAGTTTTGGACTGGAGTGAGTGCTGAAAATCATGTATGTATAAGTTTTATCCTAAGGTTAAATCTCATAGGTGGCAGAAATCATTCCTCAGCACTCAATTTAGCATTTCACTTAATCGACTGATAATGCATCTGATTTTCTCTCACAATCAGCGTTGAGGGTGTTGAGTTTACTATCGTTGGGATGGAAGCAGATTAAAAAGCATTTAATTTAAGCAGAAATAAGCAGACTCCTTCACATCTAGGATAAGTCATTAAAAATATCTGTTATCGTTTCGAGCCAGCACCGTGTTATTGTCAGGAGAGATGTTTGTAGATAGGAGATGACTAATACAAAGCGTGATGTATGAAAAATAAATCTGTTCTTACGAGGAAATTCTCTCGGAGCAAAAAATAATCTCATTGTGTTAAACCGTTTCGGCGTGTAGAGCAACCAGCCTCCTGCTGCCTGCCCTCTCGGAGCGCCTCCCCGGCCTCAGCACCCTTTAAAGCGAGGGTTAAAGCGAGGAAAAAGCCGCCCGCCTGGATCCTATC